ATGCAGTAAATGATCAAGTGTACCTTGCCATCAAATCTTGTTAAACCACTGTTGCATTTACCATTGAACTTTGTTAACTCACTGTTTTATATCAATAAAATATATTGTTGCTTCTGTCTTGCAAGTGAAGTGCATCACTCTTTCTGCAACAAGGGGTTATGTTGAATGTTAATCTGAATATAAGCCAAAAGTGCACTATCATTGCAAACGGGGCAAAGCAGGCACTTGGCTACATTAGGAGAAGCACAGCTGACAGATTGAAGTAGGTTATTATTCCCCTCTACTTGGCATGGGTGAGGCTATACCCGGATGAGTGCTCAACTTTGGGTCTCCACAGTTCAAGAGGGATGTGGAGAAACTGAAGACAGTTCATCAAAGGGCTGTAACGATGGGCAGGAACTTAGGTTACATACCCAAGCCACAATCTGTGACTGCTGCTTCTTGTTACATTCCCCGGCACTACCAAGAGGAGCTTGGCTGTATAACCTTTGTACCTTTTTTTTCATTAGCTTAGATTCATCTGCTATTAGATCACCCCGTAGCCTCCTCTTCAACAACCTTTACCAGTCCAGCTCCCTCTGTTTCTTCTGTAGTGCATGTAAACTAGTCTTGGGGGATTCAGATTAGGAAAAACTTTTTAACTAGAAAAGCAGTGCAGAACAGGAACAGGTTATCCAGGGAGGCTGTGGGATCTCCATTCTTGGAAGTTTTCAAGACTTGGCTAGACAAAGCCACAGCTGATCTGATCCAATATTGCTGGCAGTCCCATTCAAAGCAGAAGCTGGATGAGATGGCTTCCAGAAGTCCAATCCAACCAACATTTCAGTGACTCTGAATAGAAGCTTGACTACACAATTTATTCTTGATTGACTAAGACCTCACCACCACTGATTCATTACTTTTTCTTTGAACTTGTTTGTACAAGCACAAAGAATAATAATTTATTTGGTCTACAATCATATTTTTTTCTGTGAAAGTAACATTACACATAAACATCTCATGTTCCATACTGCAGAACTAGTGATCTTCTACCATGTGGATTTCTTTGCTATCTGCAGCAGACATCACCTTTACTTCATCAAAAATGAGTATCAGTTCTCCTCTGTATTCCTGCGTATCCTAGGGTAGCATCTGAAGTTTATGATAGTCAGGTCTGTATTGATATGTCTCTTCGTGCTTGTATGAGACTTGCTGGAAAATAAAACAATACGTTCAGGGACCAACTTAAAAACCTAGCAGGCCAAATACAGGAACAAACAAGTGTCTCCATATTGCTCATATGCTAATTTACTGGAACTAGAAAGAATCAAAGAAATGCTTCTTCCAGTGATGTCTGTGGGTAGGATGGAAAAGTACATTGCATTATTTGAACCATTTTTGGTGAGTATTTTGAGTGTTAGGCGGCATTTGCCTTTGCTGTAGTATAGAGAGATGATGGAGGCTAAAATCTCATAGAAGCTTCCAAAGTTTCATTGTCTGGGTCCTTTTATATTTCAAAATCAGCATGCTAAAACATACTACAGTCTTTTTACCGTGTTATGGACTTGAGGTTTTGAATGCACTGAAAAACTGGATCTGAGCACATGTATCAAAAACGTCTTTCAATTATGTTGCGCATGTAAATGCAGCAGCACCCTTTGCACAGTACTGGCACACTCGCACAACTCTGAGGGATTGATTAATCCCTGCTCTGTTTTCAGTGACAGCTGTTGAAGTGGTAAATATCTCTGTGCATGAGCAACATGGACATGGGATTCAGAGATCTCAGGCTGTGCATTTGAGCAGGGAAGTGCCTGTGCTGACTCCCTCTACCTTTCTTTTTCTCCCATAGTGGATCTATACATCCTGCTCATGACTCTGCTTGTCTTCCTGTATCACTACTGAGATTTTATCTGCTTACTATTGATGCCAGTGAACACTTTCTTCTGACTTTCAAAAGCAACTGTTAGAGGATAATTCAGTCCTTCAAAATGTTGTGAGGTGGAGATGGCTATAACCCTATCTGGAGGGTGGGCATCAGGGAGTAGCTGGAAACAGAGCATAGGACATGGGAGAATTGTGTAGGAGGAAGTCTTAAAATGGCCATTTTTAAATACAGAACAAAATAATATCTTTTATCCTATGATTCCTCATTATGTTAAAAGGGTAGGCTGGTATCGAATCTTCGTTGATGTTTTATTTCTCTTAAGAGCTGAAGCTCATATTAGTATATCACTGTTACCAGTTTATAGTTTTCTGCAGCCATGGCTGTTTTTCCATGGTGCTGAAAAGCCTGCCAGCCACCACTTTTGAAAGAAATATTTGCTCAGCTTTGGTTTTTAAAATTTAATAAACAGTTTAGGCAATACTCCTGTTATCTATGACTAAAAAATTTTGAAATACTGACATATTTTCAGGCATGAGAGAGCTAGGATCTTTTGAATGATTTTAACATTATATGGTTTGATTTTTGTTAAGTGGGAGCCAGGGGCATGTATCCATCTTCTACCACAGAAGTATTTAGACGTACATACATCTTCTCTTATTTAAAAAAGTGCTCATATAACTTGTTTTACCTTCTAGTCAGAGCAGGCTAATGGTACATCGCCTCTTCAGTGCTTCAACTGAGTTGCTAAGCTACCATAAATCTACTGCTTCCAGTCATGTACCCTCATCCCACAAATATGAATGGCTAACACACCAAAACAACCTTGCCCCAAGAATGCAGAGCATAAGTAGAAATTTTGAGGTGAGTGATGGCTGTGGGTGGGAGAGAAGTGTCCTTTTCTTTCCTTTGTTATAACCAATGTTGCATTTTTATGACCACGTCCAGAGGAAAATCAAGCATGGAACATTGTCTAGATAGCTTCTGGGTGAAAAGAGATAGTAAATGGAAAGATAAATGGGGATGAGAACAGAGATAATGTGCAGAGAAAGGGAGGAGCCAGAAGAGGGATGGGCAGACAGACAGCTGGAGCAAATGGGGCAGTATCCTCTGGAGGTAGCTTTTCTCTATTCTTGCCAGCCTCTCCTGCTCTGGCTCCACCTAAGTAGGTGAAGGGGAGAGATCCCTGTGCCGTGGGCACTTCCAGCATGGAGGAGGGTGATGAAGGAAGGGATGCTGAGTGGCTGCTTCCCTAGGGTAACTTGAAGATTACACATTTCTGGCTGCAGGTGTAGAAAAATACCTTGTCTGGGGAGATGCTGCTCTCCCATGTCAGTCTTTATATAAATTTTCTCACCGCTCTCACATTGTAGCTATGTCCTTAAGGGTTAGGTATGCAAGTCCTGTCTGTGGCAGGATTTAGTGTATACTGGCCCAGGGATCAGTAACTAGATAATAAATCTTTTTGAATCTTGGCTTGCATTATGTCTTGATAGGAAAGTAAATCTCACCCTCTCAGCAGCAAGCTATTCTTTCATTGCAAGGATACAGCTGGTGAATGATGTTTTCCAAACTGATAAATGTGGGATTTCCTGTGCCGCAAGTTATTTTGTTTGTCTTGGATGTTTGTGTTACAGCTTTATGAAGCAATCTGTCTGGGGAAAGGCCCAGAAATAATTGGCTGAGGCTTTTCTTCTGATATAGGTCTTTATAACCATAGATCTATAGCAAATCCAAATGTGAAAGTAAAATCATGTTTCACCCTGGTGCTGGGATGTTGAATACAGATAGTTGTGCTTCCACACGCATGTTGTATTCCTGTCTCTATAGCTGTTCGTTTTAAAACCAGCTAATGCATAGAAGATGAAAAAAGTTTGAGAGGTTGAAGAAAATAGACTCTTGCATCAGATACAGACCCTTCCATAGCCTTCCTGGTAGTTGACTGGAAATGTTCATTCAAACAACTTCCTTGCAAGCATCACTCAGGGGTAGTGATTGACTTTCCTATAGCTTCCATAGCTTTAAAATCCACCTGTACTTTAGGCTTTGTTCAGTATATTTGTTTTTCAATCCTCAATTGCAATGCTTGAAGAGGAAACAGCAAAACAACTTTTTTCCTGTCTCTTCATATTCATTTGGCATTCTTTTCCTCCTTCTTCTCGAGGGCTTTCCTTGGCAGACTGCACACAAAGTGACTTTCAGCTCATGCCAGGTAAGCACAGGGACATCCCTCCAGATGGACTTTTAGGAGATTTATTGATGCCTTTGTGTCATCACCATTGTATGAGCCCCATTTCTTACAGGTTGCAACTTTGTCTCCTGTTGCTTTCCTTCATCTATTCGAAATACTGACTTTTCTTTTTCTGCCCAACATCCTAATTCCTGATGGCGACAGGGCTTCTGCAATCAACTCCATCATCTTTTCCTTCCTGGAAGTAAGACAATGAAGAAGGCTATTACCTGGGAAAAACTACTTTCTTTAGGACAATTTATTAAGCCATTTGTGACTTTGGCTCCTTGTTCTGTTTTTGATCCTTAGATGGTCTCCATTTCTTAAAAATGATAAGAAGCTTAGAGAGTATAATGCAACCTTGCAGCAACACATCTTGCAAATGGACAACTAAGGCATAGAAAAGTTAGCAATGCAATGAAGATCTGGGAGAGAGAACCAAGAGGAAATAAGTATTCTCTTGCTTCCTTGTCCTTTTCCTATTTTGCCACACATACAAGGCAGAGCAACTTTGTGCCACAGAAGGGGCAAGAATAAATCATAGTAAGTCACAGTCTGAAAAATAAAAAGCCATCAGTTCAGCTGCAGGAATTCTGTAAGATTGCTAGTACAGTTCTGTAAGATTGCTAATTAAAAATCAGTATTAAAATACTATTCTGAGAAGTTAAAGAAGGGAAACAAATCTCTGGTAGCCCATCTGCTTTCCTGTAGCTACTGGTAACTTGTGCTGCATCTGTCTACTGTGCTGTGTGATGTTTCAGAGTGGCTCAGAATCAGCAGCCCCTCGACTTTCTGCGGCTCCCGAGCCCCATTGGCTGGGACGCAAAGCAGAGGCGGAGAGTGCCCTGAATATTTTTCTCCTCCACACACCATAAAACAGGCAGCTGGCATGCCCTGTCTGACAGCGAGACCGGTGCTTGCAGTTTGAAATTAGTTTCTGCTCCGCAGCAGTCACTTGGGCGTTTTACGTTTGCCTCTGTTAATGGAAGGGAACAAAAAAACCTTGCAGCATACCAGTGAACTAAACGGGAACTGACCACAGGGGAGAATCTGATGCACGCTTACAGACTGTTGGGACTCTGTGGCATAGATCACCAAGGTAAATGTGAGGATGATCAGAAACTGCATCTGTGAGAGAGTAAACCAGTATTTCTGAGTTTGAAACCTTATTTTGTAACAGCAGTCAAAGTGTTCTGAACTGCTACCTGCCTCAGTGCTGGCTTATTTTTCTTTTCTTCCCAAGCTGAAAAGCCAAAGAAGGTTTTCAAAGGAATGCAAAAGGAACAGGAGTTTTAAAAGCAGGACGGTGAAAGGGGATCTCCATAACATGAATTTCACCCAGCACCGTGGGACACTCCAGCCTCTCCATTTCTGGAACCACAGCTACGGACTGCATGGAGGTGCCAGCGAGCCCAATGCAAAGGGCCACTCCTCTGGAGGCTGCTACGAGCAACTCTTTGTATCCCCTGAAGTGTTTGTGACTCTGGGCATCATCAGCTTGCTGGAGAACGTCTTGGTCATTGTGGCGATAGCCAAGAACAAGAACCTCCATTCGCCCATGTACTTCTTCATCTGTAGCTTGGCAGTGGCTGACATGCTAGTGAGTGTATCTAATGGATCAGAAACTATTGTCATCACGCTGCTAAACAATACAGACACAGACGCACAGAGCTTTACCATAAACATTGACAATGTCATTGACTCAGTGATTTGCAGTTCCTTGCTTGCATCAATTTGCAGTCTCCTCTCAATAGCAGTGGACAGGTACTTTACTATCTTTTACGCCCTCCAGTACCATAATATCATGACGGTGAAGCGCGTAGGGGTCATCATCACATGCATCTGGGCTGCTTGCACAGTCTCAGGCATTTTGTTCATCATTTACTCTGACAGCAGTGTTGTCATCATCTGCCTTATTAGCATGTTCTTCACTATGCTCATTCTCATGGCATCCCTCTATGTCCACATGTTCATGATGGCTCGGATGCACATCAAAAAGATTGCTGTCCTTCCAGGGACTGGCCCTATTCGCCAAGGGGCCAACATGAAAGGGGCCATCACTCTCACCATCCTGATTGGAGTTTTTGTTGTGTGCTGGGCTCCATTTTTCCTGCACCTGATTTTCTACATCTCCTGCCCCTACAACCCTTACTGTGTGTGCTTCATGTCCCACTTTAACTTCTACCTCATCCTCATCATGTGCAATTCCATCATCGATCCACTCATCTATGCATTCCGGAGTCAGGAGCTCAGAAAAACATTCAAGGAGATTATATGCTGCTGCAGCCTGAGAGGGCTTTGTGATTTGCCTGGCAAATATTAAACCGAGTGGATATGTTACTGTACACAACATGCAGCACAGACTTCCAAGCCTTCAGATCCTCTTAGCAGAATTTGGGTTAAATCTTTAAGAGTGAGCACCTCTTTCTGTCTCCCCTCCTTCTCATCCTTGTGTCCCATTCACGTGTAATTCATATTTCTGTATAATGTTTGTGATATCTACAGTTTGTAATTTATTTGGCTAGAAAGAGAAGTAGCACTTCATACCAATTTGTAAGTAAGCAAATAAATGTAATGGTGAATGTGAAATACTAACAAACATGAGCAGCTGTATGTTCCAAGTGCTGACGAAATAAATAACTTGTCTGACTTACAGTACATATTGGCTGATACTGTTTTTTATTCTGTTGAAGTAATTTTAGCTATCCATTACATTATATAGAGCTTAAAATAGAGCATATGCTTCTCTATTAGTAGATTAGAGGTTTTCCGGAATTAGAAAGCAGATTTTTCATAGAGGTTACTGCAACCAACGAGTTGTGTTCATTCATTTTGAACTCTTTTCCTCCTACTCTACAAGCAGCAATTCTGTTCTTTGTTACAGTTATTGCTTACAACAATAAGATTTTTCAAATGCCTGCTACCCAGACAATCGAATGCTTGGGTTTTTTTGGTTTGGGGTTTTTTGTTTTGTTTTTTTTTCAAGATGATGATTGCTGTATGTCTGAGAGTACCTTTTTGCAAAGTTGAAATTGCTCCCTGGAGCATCAGTTAGCCCTGGATATATTTACTAGACTGGCATCCACGTAGACTAGCACCTTCCATTTAGCCATGAAGCAGGTACAGTATTAACACTGACAGTGCCAGCACCATTGTAAAGATTCACTGAGAGATTTACCTGATGAAGATGAAGAGGGGACTTCAGTTTGAACATTCAGTCTTTCCTTGTTCTGAGGTGCTGTGGGGAACAAGGACTCTCTGCTTCAGAAGAAAATACGTCCTTGTTAGAAACAAGCTGCCCTCTGTTCTGAAGTGTCATGTTAGCAGATGGGATCCACTGCCAGGATCCCTACAGAGGAGTCAAGGCATGTGTTAATTTGGCTTGAGCACCTCTGACCATACTGTGGAGCACATGAGCTTTGTGGGGACAATGCTATCACATGGAAGGGATGCCGGCCGACGAGTCTGTAAACCCATGCTCTGTATCTGGCAGCCCTGTGTGTTACTGCTGCTTGTAGTCAGTTCACCTTTCCAGGCATCTAATTGATGTGTTCTCAGTTTCATGTTAAAACACCACTCTCTTTCCACAGATTATAGGGACCTCAGGTCCTCTGATTTTAGCGCCTTTGGAAGTGTTTAAAGTATAAATGTGAGTACACAAGATTCCATGAAGATGTCCTTAACACCTCGACAACATCAGCTTCTATTTAAGGACATAGAAAAATAAATTTATTTATTCCCAGAAAGTATAAAAACATAGTGGTAACTGGTAGAAGACCTGGAAAGTTCTGATTTAAAAAGTCAAAATTTAATGTAAAGAATAATTTAGGTTTTAATCCTGGATGCCTGATTTTACCAAGATGAGTAGTGAATTAGTTGGATGAGCAGTCCTATTAATTTTCTTGGAAACAGCTTGTTACCTCAAGCTGCTTGTTCCCTCATTAAAGAAAGACATACAATGAAAAGCTATTCATGAGAGCCCAATGTTTGGTACCTGGGATTCTTCTCCAGACCAAGGCTGATCTTTCAGTTGTGGGTAACTTTTCAGGATGCCATAAAACTGTGACAACATTTGGTCTTCTGTCAAAGAGCATGAAGGACTTAAGGTGGGTCTCAGTATCTTTAACTTCAATTTACTTACAGGGAGAGTAATAAAGTCATTTTACATTGTGCATCAAAGTCCCTTGGTAGACCAGCAGCAGAGCAATCAGATCTCCTACACCCTACTCTTGCACTTGGGCCACTTCACCCACCACATCACTTGCAACACGCCCCTCTTACCTTCTCTCCGCTTTAGTTAATGATATTGCCACATCATAATGGTTGCTGTGTGGAAGATGTTGAAGTGTATCTACTACATTAACTCTACTTATTTTCTTCTGGAGAAAACTATAAACATTTCAATAATACATCCCTACCTGGTTCCGCTGGGTAGAGAATAAAAAAATGCCAAAGAAGGAGGATTAAAGTTCAAGGGGAGAAAAAAAAGAATGTTTTTAAATTAATAGTCTATCCAGAAATCCAATGGACTTTATTAGAGGCCTTTCCCTCTCCCGCAAGACATGATGCTAGCTATGCAAAAATGGTCTGGCAATAATGCAAGAAATTGCTGGTGTCAGTTTGAACAAGAGAAAAATCTCACTTGATCTTTGTTTTGCCTCACTTTCTTTAGCTATTTTAGGACTGTAAATTATGATATTGGGCTCCAGGTATTACCTTTGTAGTCCATGGATGCAGAGAAGGTCCAGTAGAAAGTGGCACAAGAGCAAGATATACTACCTTAGGTGCTCTGAACATTACCTTGAAAGTCTCTCTTTCTCCCCTTAGTCTATACAAGGACCAGACACCTAATTTAAACACATCTGAATTCTGAAGAAGCTGTGCTTCTGTAAATTACTTCCTGAACTCTTGATTCTTAAAACTAACATTCTCACTTCTTTTCGCAACCCAAGGGGAAGAGAAATAACAATTAATTTGTATCATGCTGGTGTGGAGGTTTTCATCAGTGGTTTTCTTGTAGTTTCCAAAAACGGTGTGTATCTCTTTTGCGCTTATTTGGACTAAGACTAGTCAAGACAGTTGTGACCCCATTAAGCTCTAAATCTCATTTAGAAATCTGATTTTTAAAACGTGCTTATTCCAGAGTTTTAGCAACTCTGAGCCTTCTTAGCAGCTCTGCTGTCTTTATTTTATAAAGCTAAATGTATATACATACTTTTTAAATTGAGGTTTTAATTAAAGAGGACTTTTGCATTTCATGGTGTTATCTTCTGGTGTTTAATTTATTGAAATTGCTGGCAAACCTCCTACATAGATAATTTTCCTATTCCCAGATACTCTGTTCCTTCTGAGTAGCTGAATCAGTTTCTGTTTGCCTATAGCTTTGGCAGCTTTCCAGCAGAGCACCATAGAAATCAGTGTTGTGAAAGGTAAGTAAGTTCATCTAGCTTGCTGGGAGTGGGGACAGTGGAGGATTGTTTTCCACACTCGATTTGCTGGACCTTTGTTCTTCTATTTGAAAATCTTCTACGAAAATGAGATTTCTTTCTTTAAATATCTGGGACCCTAATCACTTTAGCGCTTAGCATTTTAGTCAAGTTATGTAACCATGGCGCGTTCCTCTGTGGCAAGGAAATGGTTTTGTCTCCGCTTTACAGGTGTAAGGATTTACATTTTCACTTCTGCTGGAGAAAAGGAGCTAATGGATTTGCTCAGCCTCCTAGAAAGCAGTTTTTGCTTGAGCTGGGAATTGATGGTAGTGTTATCTGCCCTTTCCCAATAACTGTCTGTAATAGTAACACACAAAACTTTTGAAGCAAATGTCTTTCTTCAAGAGGGACATTTCTTTAGCTTTGAAGTAGTTTTTGAACAAAGCAAAGGACTCCAAAAAGCACTTAGGAGGCTGTAGTTGGTCTCAGTAGAGTGGATTTTGAATGATAATCCAAGATCCCCTTTACAACTGAAACATGCTGTCATCTGGAAGCAAGGAGAAATGCACTGATGGACTCATATGTTATTGAATGTGCAGCAGCAACAATGCCTTCAGTTAGCCTTTAATAGGTGTGCGGAGTACACATTATTGATGAAACTCTAAAATGACTCTGTTGTTGTTAAACTGATCCTATTCTACAGCGTGTTCATTGGGGGCTCCTTCATTCTCAAGCTGAATTCTGGTGAAGAACAACTTTGGTCCTGATGTTATTTGTAATATTCTGTATTGCTTATAGGCTTGAAAAAAAGTAGGAGTCTCAATCCCACTGGAAGGAGCTCTCAGAAAAGTGTACCTTTAGGGATGAAATCTTCCTCATTTTCCAGAAATTACTTCAGATTTTAAATTAATATTCTGATCTCTTCAATCATATCTCAAGTATCCTAGGGTTTTCTCTTTAGATGAAATACTTCTCTCACTTACTAAAAAAAGGAGACTTCACATGTCACAGGAACTGTCTACTGCTAATACAGATACTGACTGTGATTAAGCCAGGTTATGAATTAACCACGATTGGGTTTGTTTCAAATGGTTCTGTTGTCCTAGCTGCTTTTCATATTTTTGCCCATTCTGTTCATAGAAGAAGAGATTTTCAGATTTGTGGATTAAAAATCACCCCCTTCGAGTTTGTAATATAAATGTATTCATCAGTTCCACTTTTACCCATTTGTTCCCTTGCAAACATTGTTCATTTGTTTCAGTTGTTCTCCTTCACGCTTGGTATGTTTCTGTGTTTGTATATTTCTGGAATGCCATCAATCCGAGTCCTCTGAGTCACCCCCTGCCTGTGTGGTGGGTTTGCCTTTGGCCAGCAGCAGAACCCCCAGCCAGCTGTTGGCTGTTTGCTCACTCCCCACCTTAGTGGGACGAGGGGAGAAAATAGGAAGAACAGGAATGAGAAGGCTCGTGGGTCTGGATGAAGACAGGGATATCACTTACCAACTACCATCACAGGTGAAACAGACTTGATTTGGGGATAATTAACTTAATTTATGGCTAATTAAAATAAATATTTACTTACTGATTGAGCTAGTGGGAAACAAAAAGACAAACACTAGGGCAGCATTTGCCCTTTCTCCAGCCAGGCTTTCCCCGAGGCGCCCGCCCGTGGCTGAGGGGCTCAGCCGTGCCCTGCGG